TCTGAAAGGCGAAAAAACGTTCTTTCTTGTAACCACCAGCTATACAAAGAGGGTATAAGAATCGCTTTTTCTCTTTTTTCCGTTTTTGTTTTGTTTTGTTTTTTTGTTGTTGGAGTATTTACTCACCGACTCGAGTTTCAAAAACGCTTCCACAAAAGTCTTTGTTTGCCAGGACAAACAGGATTCCCAAAAGGATGTTAAGAGTAACAATCGCAGACTGGGTCAGCCATAAAACAGCCATACTAAAATTAGCCGTTTTATCTTAGCTCGTCCAGGTGGAGCTCCTTAGTTTTCTTGTTGCATATCAGCTTTCTTATATTTGCCTTCCTCTGTCAGCAGAGTGTCATTGACTGACAGTTGAAATACTTATTATCTGTAATACACGATTCCTTTTTATTCATCGCTTTACTGCTAAGTAGGGCCCCTCCTTACTGGATGAGAATTTTAATTAAATATCAACATCATTTATAATTCAAAGCTCTTTTTCAGTTAAGTTTTAGTCCTTTAATTGCCTTTGAGGCCTTATTTTCTCTCTTGTTAAAGAAGGAGTTTATCTTTTTTCAAAAAATAAAATTTCAAGTTTGTTATGTTTTTAAATTTTCTTTTTTGAAGGAGTTGGCACACTTTTCGAAATTTTCACCTAATCTGCATTTATATTTGTCTCCCTTAAAGCGCCTATGACACGAATTTTTTTAAAATACAGTTATCAGCCAGAAAATGCAAAAACAAATTTCGTGTCAAAGGCACTTTAATTCGTCTTAATTAGCTCGTCCAGGTGGAGCTCCTTAGTTTTCTTGTTGCATACCAGCTTTCTTATATTTGCCTTCCTCTGTCAGCTGAGTGTCATTGACTGACAGTTGAAATACTTATTATCTGTAATACACGATTCCTTTTTATTCATCGCTTTACTGCACAATTAGGGCCCCTCCTCATCGGATGACAATTTTAATTAAATATAAACATCATTTATAATTCAAAGCTCTCTTTCAGTTAAGTCTTAATTCTTTAATTGCTTTTGAGGCCTTATTTTCTCTCTTTAAAACAAAGGAATTTTTTTTTTTTGAGTGGCTCACGAAAACGTGCACTTTTTCGGTAAACAATTACGAAACAAAGAGCTAAACACTTCCCGATGAAAAATGCAGCAAGATTGACCGAACTTGTGACAAGTGGAAAGATCTGAAAGCTGCCTTCCTGATTAGAGGACATGTTAGAGCGACCTTTCAGTTGATAACTCGTTAAAAACTCAACTTGACAACATATAAATATAATCCATAATTCATGACTCCAAACTCCATTAGGCATAATATTTTGGCTTATTTGTTGTAGGTTCAAACACCCGTGAAGACATTCATTTCAAAGTAAAAATATCGGAAGACTCTTGTGCTCCAGAGCAAAGGTATCCTACCTCACAGCCATTGTTCTAGTGTAGTGACGATAGAAACAAGAAACATCAAAGCGTATAATTCCTTTTTAAATTGATCCAAATCCCGCAATATCTTAGCATGTGGGGAAGTCCTGAAAAGAGTTAATTACTGTTGATGTATACCTTCGCTTTCAATGCCTTAATAATAATGTGTGAGTAAAAATGAAAACAAATATTGAAACTGTCAGCTAAGTTTCGTGTTTATTCCCAAGTCTAAGGATCCGCTTCAGAGCAAAAAAACCGACCAAATTAAGAGAGGATGTCGGCGTCCATCGAACAAATTTGAAATATTGTGGCAAGTCGCCCAATATTCGTTTTCATCCCTACTTTCAAATTTTGTAGCCCAGTATGTTCTCATAATTGTGGTGTAGTTTTTTTGTAAAAATATATTTTAGTTTTCGAGAAATGATTTTTTTCGTACGACCGCTCAAATATGCAAATTTTCACCGTGAATATTACCCGAGTTGTATGACTTCATGTAACGATTCCACTCGACCTCCGGCATTTCTGTTAACGTAATCCTTTGTTTTATCATCTAAACTCAATCCCCTGTCATTATTGAAGCTGGAAAAGAAATATTTATTTTTTGGTGAATATTTTTGTCCGACATACTTTTCCTATGTCGACTAGTAGCATCAAAACAAAGACAGTTTTAACAATGACCGATATGACAGAATCTACTGAGCTTCAAGCTTTTAAAAGACAAAGGGATGGTTATATAGTTACTGTAAAAATTTCCTTGTGCATTCTGTTCTATCTTGAGACGAACTCAAAGTCAGGCAAAATTTACTTGATAGCGACTATGAAATATACATGGTGTGCCTACTTGTCGCCACCGTTAACTGGCATAAATCACTAAAATCTGCAAAAAAATCTAACATAGCACTCTTACCTTGTTTATTTATGATTTTACTAGCTGTTTCGATGATCACGTTAATTATATATGCTCTACCACATTCTAGCCAGATTTGAGTTCCAGTTTTTATATCTTCTCTATCTTAATATATCAGTTGCGTGACAAGCGTGACAGAAATTCAAAGATGAGTCAACCTCCGAAATATCAAGAGATGGGTTTTTCCCTCTTCGCATGACATCTAGAAAAACCTTTCAGGAATCACTGCATTCAGAAAACTAAAATGTCTAGATCCGTCAATGATTCCTTTGCCGGCTGAAGTCAGAGAATGGTTACAATAGTCAATTTGATTGACAAGGTACATACTGATTTGGCTAACTGATCTGTTTTATAAGCGTCTCATCTTACATGATAACTTGGAGATTTGCTGTTCAGTTAAATCGTTCGCTGGTGGAAATTGTGGGTTTAGTTATCGAGAAGACCCAAGTTGAATATATCAAGTCGTTCTCTTGAGTGGTTGTTAAAAAGACATTTCAAGTCACTTCAAGTCACAAGTCAAGTCTCATTCTGTGCTTACCTCGGAGAAACCCTCACCGATTGGAAGAAAGCTCGCCTGATTCTGGTGTACAAGAAAGATGACGAAGATGACACGAACAACTACAGCCTGATATCGCTTCTGAGTGTTCCTAGCAAGATTATGGAATCTTGCGTACCCGATACAGTCGTTAGACATGTTTACCAAAAAAATTTGGTCACAGATAAACAGTGGGCCTACCGCGAGGGGCACCTTCTCTTTCAATGCCTCAATAATAATGTGTGAGTAAAAATGAAAACAAAATGGAATTTGTCAGCTAAGTTTCGTGTTTATTCCCTAGTCTAAGGAGCCGCAGAAAAAAATTAAAACAAAGCAAAACACAAATAACAACAAGATAAGCACATCCTTCATGATGGAGGTAACTATGAATGAACTGAACTATTGGTTTCATGATGACAAGGCTAAAAGAGAATCATACATAGCACTATAATAATATGTGGAGCTTAAATTTACTTCGGAAAATGGCAACTGCAATATGTGCTTTAAATTCCAACTCCTTTCGACCCATGTCTACCTAACGTATTTTGCTTTTTACATACTTCATTGCGTACTTCTTGGCTTTAATTTATCTGAAAATCCGCGATGAACAACATTCTGAAAAAGACAAGTGAGAATACACCTATTTACAGTAAAAAAAGATTGAATGATCTTGTCAGGAGTGGCAGGGAAGGTTAATTGGACTGATAAATTGTTACATTGTATTCACAACAAAACATCTCATCCCTGAATGGTCGATGATCGATACAAAATGTGTTATAGTATGCCGACTTATTGTTATAATAGTAAAACACGCAAAGAGTGCGGGCTGCATAAAGTCCATGCCCCTGACAACTTGAGTAACGTGCTTCAGGTGTACATTCAGGTTGCAATTCTTCCTACCCATAACAATACGTATAAGTTGAGAAATAGTGTTTAAGACATCCAACAAATACCAATTCCCGAGAGAGGCCCGACGGTTTCTGAGAATACAACAATGGTGCCTTTAGATACGCTGTTACTTAGATATTACATTTACTTTTGTTTTTCAAGATGTTAAGTTGATAAGTTGATTTAAAGATCTTTAAAATTAACTCGGTTATTAAAAGAAGATAAATGAATAAAGGGGTAAGTTTCTAAAGAAACTGTGGTGCTGCGTCGGTGGGAGAGTATAGCAGGTAATTTAGTGTTAACAACTGGGTTGAAAACGTAAATTAGCCACTGTAAAGGGTAAAAAAGGCTAACGTTTCGAGCGTTAGCCCTTCGTCAGAGCGATTGGAGGAATTGTGGGTTGTGTGTGGGTTTATATGCAGAAAGTGGAGCTACGCCATTGGTGGGAATATGCTGACGAGAAAACAGGAATAAATTAATTGAATGAAAAGCGCTCGTTGATTCCTTGGGGATTAAGGATGCCGATTTGGAAGATAAATTTTTGTTCTAGTGTTTTACGGCTTTCCGAACTGCCTAGATGTAAGGAAAGGCCGCAAACTACCATATGCTGTTTAGAATGATTTGGAAGATTAAAGTGTCTAGCGACTGGTTTGGATGCGTCCTTGTCATTTCTTTCCACGTCGCGAAGGTGTTCTCGGAATCGGTCACCTAGTCGTCTTCCTGTTTCGCCGATGTATAACTTATTGCAATAAGTGCAAGTTATGCAGTAAATAACATTGGCGGAGGTACACGTAAAGCGATCAGTGATCTTAATGGATCTCTTGGGTCCCGATATTTCCTCTACATTATGAATGAAAGGACAAATTTTGCATCGCGAGCGAGCGCATTTAAAAGTTCCAGATTGGTCATTGGTTTAAAATGAACTCCGGACTAAAAAGTTGCCTACGTTTTTGTCACGTTTGAATGAAATAAGTTGGGGGTTGAGAAAAGATAGAGCCAGTCTCTGAATCTATCATTCTTAAAAATTTTAATTCACTCCAAAACGATTCAGAGACTGGCACTATCTTTTCGCAACATATTAAAAGATGAGTTGTATATTCAATATGAGGAGGTTGCTATTCATGGAAAAAGAACGAATTTTCGACAGGCGCAAAAATCTTAAGCTGAAAGTTCATGATGCTGTAATCTTAACGTATCTTTGTTTGCTGCTTCCACGTCAGTTGCGGGAGTTTTCACTTAGGAGTCGCAAAGCGTTGCATTCATTAACGGATATAAATCTTCCAAAAGTCGCCGCGCGACAAATCGTCCGCCACGTCATCGCATAGCCAGATGTGATATCCAGGCCACGTGCGCCAATGAGATCGACCCCGAATGAATGCTGAGTATATATACAGCTCCTTATACCCTTCATGTCCCCATTTTCCAACACGATACGCACCGTTTTCCTTCCCCCATTCTACGCATCTACTTGCAAGGACTGAGTTGTCTCCCTTGAGTTTCTCAAATGAGCCACAGGCTTTGGGAAAAGCGTCGGCATCACCGGCAAAGAACCTGGCTACAGCTTCACCAGAGCTGTTCGCGGCCGTTTTGACATGAAACGTTCGTCCAGGTTGCTGTTTACGGCAGTGGAATCTCAGCTGAGTGAAAGATATGCGGGATCTCAGCTCTCGCATACCGTCAGGAGAGAGAACCATTCTGTTGTTTCTGTAACGACTGACTCCTTCGTATGTCTCTTCTTTATTCAAATTGGTGGGGGGTACAGTTCCCTCAGCAATCACGTTATAGATTAGGAGCCAGCCTCCTGCCAGAAATTAAAAAAGAAAATGTGAATTGCACTTCTTGGGAGACCGGAAACAAGTCTATTGTTCTTTCGATAAAAAATGGGCGACTTCTAGTTACGCCTTTGCGCCACGGCTTTATCCATTTAAAGAAGATAAGGTAGTAGAATGGTTTTGTTCGTTTGTTATCACCTCAGTGGCTTTAGATAAAAAAAAAAACTTGGCTTAACCTCAAGCTGGATTTTTCTCTACATTTCAGCTCTAACGCCTCTAACAGTCTAAAAAAAAATCTGCTCGTTTGGCTCCAGCCTTTGCGAACTTTCACTTGAAATGTGGGCCACACCCTAAACTCCTCCCCTAAAACAGATGTTTTCGTTTGTCTGCAGCATTCTTGAAATGTTTTAATTATTTTTCAATAGTTTCTTTATCTCAGGTTCACACATAAGGGTTTGCCTTTGCAGCCTTGCTCTTCTAAACACAGCCAAAATTGCAGAAACGAGTTATTAACAGTGCATACCTCCATCAGTTGTCATGTCACAAAATACTTTTAAAGGAGTTCCATTTTTTTCAGGGACGATCCAGTACTCCCCATCTCCTTTAGAGTCTCCAGCTTCCAAAATGTGCTTGCAGGACAGCGCAGCTGCGAATTTAAATATGTTTCATTTTTTAGTGTTACGGTTCAGGCTCAATTGCCAAATAATGTCCTTACAGGAATGACCAGGCTGATTGAAATATAAGCCTCTGGTAGCTGAAAAAGGAAATGAGCTTTAATCTTGATGGGTTTATTAATCTTCACACACTGGTTAAGACGCTGAAAAAAGGGAAAAAAGCTATGCGCAAATTTGAACTGGACTGTCCGCATTTATCTTCAGGAATGGGTTTCAAAAGGAGTCCCCAGTTGAATATTTACACCATCTCCATATCACTTAATAGTCATATATTTTGTTTGGCAACGTCTAAAAGAGAACTTTTCTAGAACAGTCTCACCACTTACGTGTTTCACAATGTTTTCCTATGTATCTTGGATGACACTGGCCGCTTTTAATTGTTTGTTTTCGCCCGCGCGAAACATCCATACAGGAGGCCTGATTAATAAAACAGAAAGGTAAACTTTTTCCTTCCGTTCTGGCATCGATCGTTGTTCAGAGTAAACAAAGCTTGTTTTCTCGTTATCAGTATTCAGACGCTTAATGTGCGATTTCAGAAAAGGAAGTTTGACGTTACCCTTACACTCCTGTCAACACTCAGAGCACGCTATACAAGCAGAAAAAAACCTTTTGGTTCGCAGGTTGTTGCAAAACGGGAATTGTAAAATGATGAAGATAGCTAAGACGCTTGAAGAAACGTTTTCCTAAGATTTTTAACTGCTTGGTGTTCCGTTTACGAAGTGAACGCCTACTCATAAGCCAATAACAATTGATTCTCTCAGTTTCCATAAGTACATAACAGTAGTTGCGAAACATTGTTCTTGGCAGTGACTAAGATAGGAAAGTTATCAACAAACCTGCTTAACCCAGAACCCACCTGAACAGAGCTATAGTATGTAGATCCTTTCTTCTTTTTGAAATGACCTGGCTTCATCTGCCGTGTTTTATTATTCAACTCACAGCTACGTTTTCCATTGCTGTCACTGGGATGAACATTGATCGACTTACAGCTGTTATTTCCCATACATTTTAACTGGCATTCAAACTCGTCCACAACAACATTGTTCTGGATAACATGACCTACCAAGACATGGTCTGAAAGGTAAAAAACGTTCTTTCTCGTAACTACTAGTTATAGAAAGAGTGTATAACAGTCGTTTTTTCTTTTTTTGTCGTTTATTTAAGTATTTATTCACCGACTCGAGTTTCATAAACGCTTCCACAAAAGTCTTTGTTTGCCAGGACAAACAGGATTCCCAAAAGGATGTTAAGAGTAACAATCGCAAACTGGGTCTGCCATAAAACAGCCATACTAAAATTAGCCGTTTTATCTTGTCCAGGTGGAGCTCCTTAGTTTTCTTGTTGCATATCGGCTTTCTTATATTTGTCTTCCTCTGTAAGCAGAGCGTCATTGACTCACAATTGAAATACTTATAGTGTATAATTCATGATTCCTTTTTATTCATCGCTTTAATTGCTCTTCAGTTTGCATGAAAATTTATTTTGTTCGTCGCGGTAAGAGAAGAGTTTGTTTCTACTTTTATTATTATCACTGATATTATAATTCGCCAAATCAACAGTGACTTTTGTTCTGGGGAGATTCCAATTAACGGATAGACTTTGCTTGCGCGAAACATTCAGACAGGAAGTCTGACATAATTGAAACAAAATAAAAGAAAATTGATTTTTTTCACTTTTTTTTTTCTTAAAATATGCATCGAGAAGACAAAAACTTATCCATTTCATCATTTGAGTAACTTTTTTTCTCTTAATTAAGTAACATGTGGATTAGATCCATTTAGCTCTGATCACCTTATATCACGTAAAAGTAACAAATGGCCGTTTAAACTAAAGAACTATTGAGAACGTCGATACAGATGCCGAGCACATACCAAAAACGTAATTATCCTGAGAGTTAAAGATGAAGCGTACCTAATTGCATTAGACTGCAAACTTTTCGTGAACAGGTGACACTACCAAATCTTGCCTCAACACATAATCTTTGCAGAAAAGGAACGGATATATATAAGACACTTTAAACGTTCCGTCTGTACGAATTAACATATCTTTTTCTTGTCCTTCTTTGCTCTCCGATCGATAAATAGAAAAAAAAGGTTAAGTTCCGAATTTCTCTGCCTTGTAACCTATAAAATTAACAAGATTATTTTATGCTCAATGAGAAAGACGAAATGAAGACCCCCCATTTTTGCTTCGCCTTAAGCAATCAAATTAGTCAGAGCTATATTTTTTTAGCACTCAAGGACTAAAACCACTCTCGGCTTCGCCTCGAGCAACTCTTGTGCTTTTCACGGGAACGCATCTGTTTAATCATAATTAACAAACAGAGAAGCCTTGACTGTGCCCTGTTATGTTGTAGATCACGCAGCGGCCAAAGCAAAAAAGAAGTAGCGAGAAAGAATTCTTAAAATTCCCCACACATTAATTTCAATTTTCAAAATAAAATTTATCGCCAAAGCAAACAACAGTGTCGTCAGCATGCTCCGTGCTGTCATAAAGCACGCTACAATAAGCCAATAGGAATCCTTGTTATAATGGTTTTAAATAATCAGATTGGTTGACAAGACTAAGCTGTCAAAAATGTCAAACCATCCCAGTTCACAACCATCAAAGTTCACAATCTGCAATAGTTTACAAACTGAAATAGTTGGGCAGGTCGAATTTACCACTTCTGCCTGAAGTTTTCTCTATTTTTAGTCTGGAGTTAGTCTCTAATGCAGAATATCAAGCTGAAATGTTCAGTGAAATCCGGCCAAATTGTGGCTCATAACAATACGCAAGTTTTTTTACATAACAATTAGAGAACAAACTGCTCAAGGCGTGTGTTTTATGAATAAAAGAATGACGTAAATTACGGCGTTTGGCACGCTTACAAGCCTTTGTTTGGTTCTTCGGTTGCTACTTGCCGGCTCGTTTGTTCCGAAATTTCACCTTCAATTAACGATAACAAGCAAGAGAGAAGTCCGGGAGATGGTCGGACATGGTACAATTTGGCAGATGGCGTGACAGCTAGAGCTCAGCTCTATGCTTTGTACTCTGAAAAAGCACGCTCTTTCAACCAATGACAGCACCCTCTTTGTCATTTAATTTTTTTAGTCCTTTAATTACTTTGAGGGCTTGTTTTCCACTCATTTTAAGAAAAAGCGTTTGTTTTTTTTTTTCATAAAACAAAATTGCCAGCTTAGTTATGGTTTTTATTCTTTTTTGAAGGAGTTAGCCAATTTCTCAAAGGCTAAAAGAGATCATACACAGACTACAGTCTGTTGAGCCTAGGATTCCCAAAATGATGTTAAGAGTATCAATCGTAGACTGGATCAGCCATAAAACAGCCATCCTAAAATTGACCGTTTTATCATGTCGAGGTGGAGCTCCTTAGCAGGTAATTTAGTGTTAACAACTGAGTTGAAAACGTAAATTAGCTACCGTAAAGGGTAAAAAGCTGAAGTTTCGAGCGTTAGCCCTTCGTCAGAGCGATTGGATCTGTGGAGCTCCTTAGTTTTCTTGTTGCATATCAGCTTTCTTATATTTGCCTTCCTCTGTAAGCAGAGCGTCATTGACTGACAGTTGAAATACTTATTATCTGTAATACATGATTCCTTTTTATTCATCGCTTTACTGCTAAGTAGGACCCCTCCTTATTGGATGAGAATTTTAATTAAACATAAATATCATTTATAATTCAAAGCTCTTTTTCAGTTAAGTTTTAGTCCTTTAATTGCTTTTGAGGCCTTACTTTCTCTCTTTTTTTAAAAAAGGGGTTTTTTTCCATAAAATAAAACTGAGAGCTTTGTTGTGTTTTTCCTTTTCCTTTTTCTTTTTTATTTTTTTCAATTCCTTTTGAATTGATCCAAATCCCGCCATATCTTAGCATGTGGGGAAGTCCTAAAAATACTAAAAATAGTTCGTTACTGTTAATGTATACCTACGCTTTCAATGCCTTAATAATAATGGTTGAGTAAAAATGAAAACAAAAATGGAAGCTGTCAGCTAAGTTTCGTGTTTATTCCCAAGTCTGAGGATCCGCTTTCAGAGCAAAAAAACTGAACAAATTAAGAAAGGATGTCGGCGTCCATCGAACAAATTTGAAATATTGTGGCAAGTCGCTCAATATTCGTTTTCACTCCTACTTCCACATTTTGTAGCCCAGTATGTTCTTATAATTGTGTTGTAGTTTTTTTGTAAAAATATATTTTAGTTTTCGAGAAATACCTTTTTTCGTACGACCGCTCAAATATGCAAATTTTCACCGTGAATATTACCCGAGTTGTGTAACCTTATGCAACGATTCCACTCGACCTCCGGCATTTCTGTTAACGTATATAATCCTTTGTTTTATCACCTAAACTTAATCCCTTGTCATTATTGAAGCTGAATATTTTTGTCCGACATACTTTTCCCATGTCGAAAAGCAGCATCGAAACAAAGGCAGTTTTAACAATGACCGATTTGACAGAATCTACTGAGCTTCAAGCTTTTAAGACAAAAGGATGGTTATAAAGTTACTGTAAAAATTTCCTTGTGTATTTGTGTTGTTCTATCTTGAGACGAACTCCAAGTCCGGCAAAATTTACTTGATAGCAACTATGAAATATACATGGTGTGCCTACTTGTCGCCACCGTTAACTGGTATAAATCACTAAAATCTGCGAAAAAAATCTAACATAGCACTCTTACCTTGTTTATTTATGATTTTACTAGCTGTGTCGATGATCACGTTAATTATATATGCTCTACGACATTTTAGCCAGATTTGAGTTCCAGTTCTTCTCTATCTCAAATTTTTTGTTTTTTGACGGGGCCGGGGGGGGAGGGAGGCGATCGGAAATGGGTGAGAATGCTTGTGTCGTACCTTTTAGGAGTTAAGATCAGCGACCTGGTACCTGTTACAATGTCTCAAACTTTAGTGGACCACCAAAGACCTAGCTGGTACGTTTTAGGGTGTTTTTCGCTCAATAAAATACTTGAAATAAGCATTATCAGGACGATTTTAATGATCTGACACAAGCACATCGATAAAGGAGTTTTTATTATTGGGATTTTTCAGTTTTTTGTTTTTGAAATGGTACTTTTTAGGGGTAGACATCAATTGCTGCCACTCCCACACGGATAAGACGGAAAGATAAGACGGTGGCGACAAGTAGGCACACCATGTATATTTCATAGTCGCTATCAAGTCAATTTTGCCGGACTTTGAGTTCGTCTCAAAATATGAGAGTAGGAGTGAAAGTAAATTTTACCAAGATATTGCATTAAAGTTTTGTTTTTCCAAGGGAAAAAAGGATAAGTGATTCAAAGATCTTTAAAATTAACTCGTTTATCGAAAAATAAATATGAGGAGGTTACCCGCTTTATGGATAAAGAACGGATTTTCGACGGGCGCAAAATTGTTAAGCGAAAAGTTCAAGATGCTCTAAGCTTAACGTATTTTCAGATGCTCCTTCAAAGCCCGTTTCAGGAGTTTCCACTAAAGCTAGAGTCGCTAGCGTTGCACTAATTAACGGACATAAATCTTCCAAACGTCGCCGCGCGACAAATCTTTCCTCTTGCCATCACATTGCCATACGTTAGAACCTCGCCAAGTGATCCAATGATCATACCAACGATGAATGCTGGGTATATATACAGTTCCTTTTTCCCTTCATGTCCCCATTTTCCAACATGATACACGCCGTTTTCCCTCCCCCATTCTACGCATCTACTTGCAAGGACTGAGTTGTCTCCTTTAAGTTTCTCAAATGAATCACAGGCTTTGGGAAAACGTCGGTCACCGCCAAAAAATCCGACTACAGCTCCACCAGAGGCGTTAATGGCTGTTTTGACGCGAAAAGTTCGTCCATGTTGCTGTTTACAGCAGTGGAGTCTCAGCTGATGGAAAAGCAAGATTGTTTTCATTTCTCGCATACCGTCATGTGAAAGAACCAGCTTGGTGTGGTTGTAACGACTGATACCATTGTATGACTTCTCAACATCCAAACTGATCGGGGGAGACGACTGATTTATTATAACGTTACATATCAGAAGCCAACTTTTTAGCAATAAAAAAGGAAGAAAATATTTTAAAAAGATGTAAATAAAATGGCAGGATTCCAACTTTTTCTAAAAAGTATATATATATATTGTATTCACAGCGCGCAGTGGTCATACAATTAAAGTCTTCTGCAAGTAAACCATATCGTTACGGCAACCATGGCGACTGAGGATATCACCTGAGCCTCTTTAATTTTTTTGGGGGGGCCTTTTATAATTTTGTAGACAATACCGAAGACAAATTGAACCTTTTTAATACATGGAAA